GGTTTCATTGATCTTATGTATTATTTTTTAAATCTCTATGTCATTTATTTCTGCTCTGATCTTTATTATCTCCTTCCTTCTGCTCACTCTGGGCTCTTCTTGTTGCTCTCTTTCTAATTCTTTGAGTTGTAGAGTTAGATGATTTACTACCATTTTTTCTTGTTTTTTGAGGTAGGCCTGTAGAGCTATAAACTTCCCTCCCAGGACTGCTTTCATTGTGTCCCATAGGTTTTGGGTTGTTGTGTTTTCATTGTCATTAGCTTCCAGAATGTTTTTAATTTCTTCTTTGATCTCATTGGTAACCCAATCATTATTTATTAACATGCTATTTAGCCTCCAAATATTTTATTTTTTTCATTGTTTTTATTATTTGTTGATTTCTAGTTTTATGCCATTGTGATCTGAGAAGATGCTTGTTATGATTTCTATCCTCTTGAATTTGAAGAACCTTTGCATGTGTCCTAATATGAGGTCTATCTTTGAAAATGTCCCATGTGCACTGGAGAAGAATGTATATTCTGTAGCTTTGGGGTGAAGTGTTCTGAAGATGTCAATTAAGTCCATCTGATCTAGTGAGTCATTTAGGATTGCTGTTTCTTTGCTGATTGTTTGTCTAGAGGACTTATCCAGTGATGTCAGTGGTGTATTAAAGTCCCCTACTATGATTGTATTGTTGTCGATCTCTCCTTTGATATCTTCCAGGAGTTTTTTTATGTATTTGGGTGCTCCTGCATTGGGTGCATATATGTTTATCAGGGTTATATCTTCTTGTTGTATTGATCCCTTTAGTATTATGAAGTGGCCTTCCTTATCTCTGGTTATGGCCTTCACTTTGAGGTCTATTTTGTCCGATATAAGTATTGCTACCCCAGCTTTCTTTTCCTTTCCATTTGCGTGAAAGATATTTTTCCATCCCTTCACTTTCAGTCTGTGTGAGTCCCTTCTAATGAGGTGGGTCTCTTGTAGACAGCAGATGTATGGGTCATGTTTTTTTATCCATTCAGCCACTCGATGTCTTTTGGTTGGAGCATTTAGTCCGTTTATGTTTAAAGTTATTATTGAAAGGTACTTGTTTGTAGCCATTTCTTTTTTTGTGTGTGGCTGTTTTTTTTCTGTGCTTTTTATTTCTTTTTACACCAGTCCCTTTAGCATTTCTTGCATTGCTGGCTTGGTGGTGATAAACTCCCTTAGCCTTTTTTTGTCTATGAAACTTCTTATTTCCCCTTCAATTTTGAATGATAGCCTTGCTGGATAGAGTATTCTCGGATTCAGTCCTTTGCTTTGCATCACTTTGTAAATTTCCGTCCATTCCTTTCTGGCCTTATGTGTTTCTGTTGAGAAATCATTTGATAATCTAATGGAAGATCCCTTGTATGTAACTTTCCGTCTCTCTCTTGCAGCCTGTAAGATTCTCTCTTTGTCCTGAACATTTGCCATGATAATTATGATGTGTCTTGGTGTGGGTCTTTTCGGGTTCACCTTGTTTGGGACTCTCTGTGCTTGTGTGACTCTTTTCTTTTCCACCTCAGGGAAGTTTTCTGATATTATTTCTTCGAGTAGGCTTTCTAACCCTTGTTCCTCTTTCTGTTGTTCTGGCACCCCTATTATTCGTATGTTGTTTTGTTTCATGTTGTCCCAAAGCTCCCTTAGGCTCTCCTCCAGTCTTTTAATTTTTTTCTTCAATTGCAGTACAGTTTGGGTGTGTTTTGCTTCTTTGTCTTCTAATTCACTAATTCGGTCCTCCGCTTCTCCTAGTCTACTGTTGATGCTTTCAATGGTGTTTTTTATTGCAGGTATATCACTCTTCATTTCTTCTTGGGTCTTGCATAAGTTATTGATTTTTTCATTTGTTTCTTCTTGCTTCTTGCATAAGTAGTTGATTTTTTCCTCCATCCGGTTTATGCATGCTAGGACCCTTATTCTGAATTCTTTTTCTGTCATGTTGCATGCCTCTGTCTCACTTAGCTGCTTTTCTGGCGAGTCCTCATTTTCTTTCCTTTGGGGGTTTCTTTGTCTACCCATGTTTGATCTCACTGACATATCTAGATGTTGATTCGTTCAGTGGCTGCTCCCTGGGTGGCAGTGGCGCCTTGGGCTGTGGTTGCTCCTTGGGCGGTTGTGGTAGCAGCTGCTCCTCAGTTGGCAGCAGCTCCTCTGGTGGGTGCTGTTCACAGCTGTGGAGGCTCTTCTGTCTGGTGGGGGGAGGCTTCACGTACAGCTGCTCTTCCTCAGACAGAGGGTGTGGTGATCAGGAGGCTGCTGTTGCTTGGATCTGCTGCGTTGATTTAAAGGCACAAAACACAACACAACAAGGCACAACATACCAGGCACTGAACACAAATATATTCACGATATTAATAACCCCAAATAAAGGTGACCACCCCAATTAAGAGAATTAGGGGATAAGGAGGAAAGAAGAGAAAAGGATAAAAGAGAAAAAGGAAAAGAAAAGAAAAATAAGAAAAAAAAACAAAAAAGAAGTGCAAAAATGAAATTGGGAAAAAAAGAGGGGGAAAAAAAGAGCGAAAAGAGAGAATGAAGTAGAAGAGGGGAAGAGACTATTTGTATGAGGAGAAAACTCCGATAGAACTGCCAGTAATTTGTGTTTTTGCCTCCCTAAACAAAGTTATGTAAAGTTACCTAAAGACTAATAGCAGAAATTTAATTAATGTCATTTACTGTCCATAACTTAGGACAAGTAAAATTTAAAAAATAAACCTTATTTGATTGATTTAAATTGGCTAATTGAAATAAATGAATATTCATAAAAACTTTGTTGTACTGGGCAGGAAACTGTTCCTGAAGCATTAACTATTTTTTTTACTAATGGTTTATCTCATAGTAAACTTGCTTAACATGCAATGAATTCAAACCAGTCATATTTCTGTGCATAATATTAAAATTTAAAAAGTTATCAAGACTGCATTGCAAAATTTCCAAAAGCCTCTTAATATTATTTAAATCAAAAAAACAAGGGGGATAGTGTAATAATCCCCTGTGAGTAAATAACATCAAAAAAATTTTACTTTAAAAATTAATTTTCACTTGTAATGCTGAAGACAAGAAAACACATATGGTGTCAAAATAAGCCAAAGGAAAATCGTTTGGGCAAATATGAAAGGATCCCAAGTCTAGTTTATAAACAGATTCCTTTATTAACCTTTGGTCGAGAATATGTTTGTATATTTCCAGAAAACTCCTCCAAGCCCATGTGGATTTCCTGCAACAACGGATCCCAGAGAGAAACTGACCAGATTGCTCCAGCCACGAAGACAAGAGGAAAACAGTCCAGAGATGGAGATGGTGAAGATGCCTTGCCATGCTAGCAGTCAGCAGCTGTGCATCACTGCAGGTTGCTCAGGACCAAGCCAGAGAAGGTCGGACCTGCACTGCCACTATTTGCCCACCATCCAGAACTAGCATATCATTACTGGCATGTACACATGAAATGTAGGACATTGAAATTGGGACTCAAAGAACTGTTGGCCCAGAAAGAAACTTACTACAGACTGATTCCTTAGATACCTGGCAGCAATTTAAAAAGGACATGACATTTGCCTCTCAGCATAACCACTATTGCTTGTCTCATTTTTGTTCTCATGTTTACTTCTAGTCTGCAGATGCGGAATGAAGAGTGTTGAAAGGACTTGAACCTTTTTAGGTGGCATTCACTTTTCAAGATTTTTTAAGGAAAAGAGAAGGGGAAGATGTGGAAAGCTGCCTATTGTCTTCACTAGCAGAGAGGTGTGGACAAGGAACCCAGAAGGCTGGTGATCCTTGAAGCCGTGGCAAAGGTCAGAGCTGTGCACCCACTGTTAGTCCAGACAATGGGAGCTGAAGCAACTTCCCCATTTATTATTATGTAAATCCTTGCTAAAGGGCAAGTCTGTCTGTTACTGGAAATTGCCTGCCTAAGGGCTATGGGTGTATCCCAAACCAATAAAAGGTTGGTGAGGCCTGAGCACCATTGGAGGTCCTTTCCCTTGAGTTGGACTTGCTTGCCTGGCCCCCCAGTATTTCCAAATTATCTCTTGTCTCTTCTCTTTCATTTGTGTGCGGTTCCTCTTCCAGATCCTGAACCCTGAACCACGCGGGACGTTGGGGGAAACTCAACACACAAGTGCTGGAGAGCATGCGGAGAAAAAGGAACATTCGTGCACTGCTGGTGGGAATGCAGACTGGTGCAGTCACTGTGAAAGACAGTATGGCGTTTCCTCAAAAAGTTAAAAATGGAACTCCCATTTGACCCAGTGATCCCACTGCTAGGAATATATCCCAAGAAACCAGAAACACCAATCAGAAAGGATATATGCATCCCTATGTTCATAGCAGCACAATTTACCATAGCGAAGATTTGGAAACAGCCTAAGTGCACATCAGCAGATGAATGGATTAGAAAACTGTGGTACATCTATACAATGGAATACTATGCTGCTGTGAAAAAGAAGGAATTCTTACCATTTGCAATGGCATGGATGGAACTGGAGAGCATTATGCTAAGTGAAATAAGCCAGTCAATGAAAGAAAAATACATGATCTCACTCACTTATGGATAATAAAGACCATTATAAACTGATGAACAAAAATAGATACAGAAGCAGAGCAGCATCGAACAGACTGTCAAACTATAGCGGGAAGCCAGGGGAGGGTTGGGGGGGGCGGGTAAGAGATCAACGGAAGGACTTGTATGCATGCATATAAGCATAACCAATGGACACAAGACACTGGGGGGTAGGGGAGGCCGGGGGAATGTCAAGGGGCGGGGGAGGAGACATATATAATACTCTTTGTAATACTTTAAGCAATAAAATAAAATTTTTAAAAAAGAATATCATTTGTCAAACAACATAATAACTAATTCATGCAAGGATAATCAATGGATGCTAAATCTATACATGTAATTTTAAGGAGTAACAAAATATTTACAGACACTCAGAGTACCTCCATACAAGATATTTGTGACATACAAAAGTTAAATAGTACCTTTACTGTGGACACAGCTGGCAGACACTTCGTAACCACATGATCACAGTCAACACTGGCAGTAATGGAGCCGAGCATGTGCCTACAGATTTGCTGCATGGGAAGAAGTCAGCATCGCTGACATTCCTGCCCACATGGCATAATTTGAAGCTACACGAAGAAACTTCAGACAGACCTAAGTGGAAAGTCTACAAATAACTGACCTATACTCTTCAAACTGTAAATGTCATGAAAAGCAAAGGAAGCCTAAAGAATTGTCTGAGATTAAAAGAGACTAAAAGAACAGGACATTGGACATAACACATCATCTTGGATTTACTTGGACTATAAATGATATTATTCAGATAATAGAAAATATCTAAATAAGATCCAAGATTAAATATTAATACTGACCCAATTTTAATTCCCTGATTTTGATAATTCTACTACAATTATGTAAGATCATTCCTTTTTCTTAGGAAATGCACACTAAAGTATTTAGGAGTAGAGATGTATCATGTCTGCAACTTACAAATGGTTCATATATTATATCTAACAAACCTACATTTAAATTTATTTAGGTAATAGACAAGAAGGGAGAAAAGATAAAGTAAATGTAGTAAAATGTTAACATTTGGGGAATGGTTTAGGAATTCTTTGTACTATTCTTGTAACTTTCCTATAAGACTGAAATTTTCCAATACCGGAATATTTTTAAAAGAAAAATTCTAAAAATAATTTTAACAAATTATAACCCATTAAATGAAATGAACCGTGAGTTCATATTGATAAATGAATAAATCAAAAGTTCAATGAAGAAGAGATACTTACACTGACTCTAAAAACTTCCCTATAAAGCAATAATTGTGAAGTGAAAAAAGAAACATTACAGAGGAGAAACCCAGCAGATACTGCCTTCACTGATCAACATTAACATCCCCAGGAATGGCAAATCCAAATTGTAGGTCCCATCACAGGATGCAATGAGAAGAGTATAGGACTACTTCTGTGATGCTCTTGCTAAAAATGTCTGAACTAAATATAATCATAAGGAAACAGAAAAATCCATGATGTGAAATTGAAGTACATTCTACATACATGAGAGGAACTTCCTCTTCAAAAGATTCAAGGTCATGAAAGTCAAGGAAACACTAAGGACCTGTTCCAGACTGAAGGAGAAGAATAGACACCACAGCTCAGTGTAACCCATGGATCTTAACAGGGTCTTTATGCTCTAACAGAAGCTACAGACAAGTGGCAAAATTTGAAAAGGATGAGAAGATGAAATTATGGAATGTATTAGTGTGAATTTTCTGATTGTGAAGGTGGTATGGTAGACAAGTGGAATGTACTAAAGGAATAAGGCATGGTGGCACAGTGTCAACAATTTACTCTCAAATGGTTCAGGGCAACAGAGTTCTTTGTACTAAAACTTGGATCTTTCTGTAATTTTAAGACTCTTTCTAAAAAAATCAATCAATAAATGGAAAAGTAGAAAAGCCTTAGGCAAACTTCATTTCCCACACGAGGAAAGATTTTTAAATCAGTGTTTAAAATTACATCAGTACAATGGCACTATCACAATTTTTATACAGGTAACTAGAAGCCATAGCAGCAGATATCAAAATTATGTCTGTCTAAGTCTTTAGGACCAAATATGGTGATAAAATTGGAATGTGTAAAAAAATCTATCAACTGGCATCACTAAAATATGAAAAGTTGTTTGTTTGGATTTTGTTTGAACAGTTGATATTTGGGCAATTTGAGTAAGTATAACTCAAATAGTGCTAGCTTTCATTTATAAAATCTGCTTAAAACTTGGTTAGATGCCCCCAAAATACCCCAATTTAAAATACTATATAAATTTTCATCAAACATATGATCAAAAAATTTTTTCTTTAATAAAAAGTTCAAAAAAAAAAGTTCATGTCATGTGTCTAATGGAAAACAAAATGTTATGTAAACAGTCCAGTAAATAATTTTTTACTGTTTATGTTTCATGTAATTTTTCAGCAAAATCTCTTTATATTCTTGTTGCATTTTCAAAAGTAGATCTTGACATGAACTTGACTAACTGATTGATCCTTCAGGACAAACTCTATAGGATTGAGCTTCAAATTTAACAGCATCTGGAAAGGAAAAGAATTATATTCATTAAACTACAACTAAGTATAAGTGTTAAGAAGAATAAAGACATCTGTATCTGGATACAATACACAACACAAGAATACTATGAAACATAATTATTAATTCAGTGGTTGCACACTGTATTAATTGATATCATGGCTAAGTATCAGAGCTTCTGGTTTCCCCATCCTTCATTCATTTATTCAACACCATGCACTAAGGTGGTATGACAAGCACTGGAGTTACAAGATGAAGATGACACAGCCCAACCCTGAACAATCATCTATATATATAAATGGCCAATATGCAAAGTGTCCCCTCAGGAGTTCGACCGAGAGACTGGGAGTTCAATCGCTCACTATGACGTGTGCTGACCACCAGGGGACAGCACGGAATAAAGGAAGGCCCTGGCCGGGAGCTGGAAGGCCCCAATCGGCCCTGATCCCCAGCCAGACCTAGAGACCTTACCTTTGCATGAATTTCATGCACCAGGCCTCTAGTTTACTATAAACTGAAAAAACACAACAACAAATGAACAGGCAATTTCTACTCAGAGTCATAGATACCACCAACCAATATAACACAAGGCACTATTGGAGCACTCAGAGGAGACATCCCAGTTTTGTGTCAATATTGTCGGCTTTTTGGTGGAGGTGATATGTAAGTTGATACCTGATGGACAAAAAAAAAAGTATGCCAGAAAGAGAAATGAAGCAGATTCCAGGACTAAAAATGAGGAAGAACATTTGTGGAACTAGAAATAGTCTAGTTTAGCTAGCTGCTAGAGCAAAGGGGCAGAGTAGCAAATATAAGGCTGCATTATTTGGCAAGAACTAAGTGGATTTCACTGTTTTTACTCCGTGCAAAGGAATTTGGAGTTTTTCATGAGGGTAAAAGAATGCCAAGTCAATGACTGGAGTTTTGAATATTGCCCCTCAGCTGTCAGTTATGTGAACTATAACTGCCTGACTCAGTATTACTAGATGAGTCTGGTTATTTGGCCTTATATCACTAGTAAAACATGAGAAGTGATGAAGCCAGTTTTCTGACCATAGTTTCAGTGTGCAGGTCGACAGTCCACGGCAGAGGGAAGGAAGAGAATAGCCAGAAATGAAGAGAGATGCATACTGGTAGACTTCTGAGGTCTTTAAAGAGCCGTAGAACATGATGATTACATGTGGGATAAGTATATTCTTCCTTATGACTGTTTATATTTCACATTTTTCATTCACATGGAAAAATATTTAATGCAGTATATATTATCCAAACATGGAAACAGATGCCATTTCCTATTCTCAGTTTATTTACAAAATCAATGATATCTAATAAATTTTGGCAGCATACCTTCTTTTCATTCTCTAGTTAGGGTTTCTCCATACTCCTGCCATATCTGAAATAGGTCAAATATTATTTTTAGTATTTAAGTTAAATAAGAGACATTATTAGAAGAATGATATATAGCTTATGATGTGTCCTTTAAATACTACTTTTAGAGACTGGAGCATTAGGGATTGCACAAATAGAAAAATAATCACATAAACAAAATTAATTCAGACTCATTTAATTTTAGATAATAGAGAGCATGCATATGTAATGCTATTTAGATCAATCTGATAAAAATATAATTATTATTGGTCCATTGAATAACCATAACTTCAGGAAAGTAATATTTGATACCATTGGTTTAAAGAAGTTTAAACAAGTCAAGTCATATTTAACACTGAATGCATTACTTTGCGATTCCAAGAAAAAATGCTGTTTATAAAAATTTAGGTTTTTGTGAGCTTTTTTTTTTTTTACTTGAATTGATTTTTATTTTAAATGATCTTTACATCCCCCTTCAGGCCAGGTGCTTCTAGCTTACAGCCCCCCTGAGTTGCCTTTCCCTGCTGGGGGGCGGAGGGAGAGGGCTGCCCATGGGGGCGCTGAGGGGCCACATGGGGTTCTGTGCCTCGCGGGCATGTTGCTGGGTAGGGGTCTGCTCCTGGGGGTGCCTCAGCTTCTCCTGCCCCTCGTGCCACTCCTTCCTGATCCCCAGGCCCCAGCCCAGTGGTTGGTCCTGGCACAGCCCAGGCCAAAGCAATGGGGACCCTTCCACGGTGTACCTGGAGCAGAGGCCTTCGTTGGGGAAGAGGCGGTGTCTGGTGTCTTCCAGGAAACTGGATGGAGCCCGTGGTGACCCCTGGTGACCCTGTTCCCAACGCTGGGGATCCAGAGGCAGCCTGACTCGGGCTGTCATGGATATGCTGGCAGAAGACGGTGTCTGCATTCTAAATCATGGAAAAGCCCATAGGAGAGATAAGTGACTCCGGACTCAAGATATTCAGATGAGTCTGTTGCTTCACATTTTGCCCTTGTCACTGTTTTTTGATGAAGACATCAAAAAATGCCTCAAGGATTCAGAGAGAAAACTCTTTCCTAAAGAAAAGAGTAAGATTTTTGGAAGAAAAGCTTACAGGTGCTCTATTGGATGAAGAAACACGTTCTGTGGTCCAAGAACAAGTAAATAAGGCCTATCATACCTGCCGAGATGTTTGCGTTGATAGAGATAATTTAAAGAGAAAATTGGGTAAATGAACGAAGACAACCTGAATGTTTGAAAGTATTGAATGAACAGCAGCATTCTAAAGAAATAGAACTCCTCAGGCTAAGAACAGAGGTGGAAACACTGCAGGTGATAAGGAATTTAAATCCACCTTCATCAAACTGGGAGGTGGAAAAGCTGAGTTGTGACCTGAAGATCCATGGCTTGGAACAAGAACTAGAACCGATGAAAAAAGAATGTAACTCTCTCAGAATAGAGCCTCAAAAAGCCAAACAAACACATCCATCTCAGGAAGACAATCTGCAGAGCAGAGCTCTTAAAGGCTAAGTATTTCAGGTGATGATATGCAAAATGCATACTGGGAGCTGAAGGGAGAAATGTCTAATTTGCATCTGGTGACTCAAGTACAGATTGAACTGAAAACCCCAACTGCCATCAAGAAAGCCTGTGCCCCGTAGGATTCCCGTAAGACCTTGGCAAAGACAGCACACAACTGCACTTGACGAATTTCACTGCAACAAACAAAAGACACCCCCCTCTCTCACCAAAGGCAAAACTCTTTGTCTTACCACAGCTTCCCCTTTACCAGGAGATGGAAAGGTTTTATCAGAGAAAGCAGTTCCCCATCATGCACAGATAATGAGAGACCCATTCCTCATGACTGCACAAACTTTCAGGAACATTACTCACATGGCAGAAATTCCCTGGAAGATAATTCTTGGGGACTCCCAAGCCCTCCTAAATCAAGTGAGACAGCATGTGATGTAACTCAGACCTATAAAACTTCAGAGGAAGTCAACTGAAAGTCTGTCTGTTTTCTCCCTATTTACAGGAAACACATAGGCCAGGCCAGTGTGGTTCAGAGGCTTGAGCATTGTCCCATGCACCAAGAGGTCGCTGGTTCTATTCCCAGCCAGGCCACATGGGTTGCAGGCTTGATACCCAGTAAGGGTGGGCAGGAGGCATCAGATCAATGTGATGGTTCTCATTGCTATTTCCATCTCTCTCTCCCTTTCCTGTCCTCTCTCACTAAATATCAATAAAACCATATTTTTTTAAAGTTAAAGAAAGCACTGTTCACATGATTGTAAATTGGTACAGTCACTGTGGAAAGCAGCATGGAAACCCCCCAAAAATTGGAAATATAACTGCCATTCCACTTCTGGGTATTTACCCAACAGAAACATGAACACGAATTTGAAAAAATATTCACACCCCTATTCACTGCAGCAAGATTTACAATAGCCAGGATATGGAAGCAGCATAGATGTTCTTCCATAGATAAATGAATAAAGAAGGGTAGGATACCTATATATATATTATTATATATATTAGAATATATATGGGGGGTGTGTATATATACATATATACTATAACTCAGACATTAAAAAGAATGAAATCTTGCCATTTAGGACAACATGCATGGACCAAAAGGGTATTATGCTAAGTGAATATGATAAAGACAAATACTGTTTGATCTCACTTACATGTGCAATCTAAAGCAACAAAACAAACAAAACAGAAACACACCCTGTAGCCTCAGAGAACACAAACTGGCCGTTGCCAGAGGGAAATTGAGGAGAGGGATGAAATAAAGAATATGAATAAGAAGTGCAAACTTCCAGTTATAAAATATGTAAGCCACAGGGATCTACTGCACAGCACAGGGAATGTGTTAATTATTGTAATAACTTTGCTTGGTGACAGATGGTTACTAGACTTTTCATTGTGAACCCATCATAAGATATGTAAATGTCAAATCACTATGTCATACACCTGAAAGTAATATATTGTGTGCCAACTAGACTTTAACAAAACATTTAAAAATGAACAAAGCAGTCCTTTGGCCTTCACATATTGCCATATGAGAATAGGATGCTTTGGAGTCATAGCTAATTACTGACCAGGAAAGCAGACATAAACACTGACAACTTCACAGCTAAATAAGAAACAACACCTGGGATACTTATGTCATCACCAAGCCACCAAAACAATCCTGGTTCCTATTGTTTAAGCCGCTTAATTGGGCCACCTATTATTATCTGAAGCTAACAACATTCTACCTGATAAGTTCCCAAGGTCTACAACAGTGGTTCTCAACCTTCTGGCCCTTTAAATACAGTTCCTCATGTTGTGACCCAACCATAAAATTATTTTCGTTGCTACTTCATAACTGTAATGTTGCTACTGTTATGAATCGTAATGTAAATATTTGATATGCAGGATGGTCTTAGGCGACCCCTGTGAAAGGGTTGTTCGACCGCCAAAGGGGTCGCGATCCACAGGTTGAGAACCGCTGGTCTACAAGATAAGATCTAGTCCTTTCTGTAGTACAAAAGGCTTTCATAAACCTGCCTTAGCTAAGCACTCACCTCATTCCCAACCATTCCCGTAGCGCACATTTTCACATTGAAATGGTACTACTCGTGAATCCCATAAACTTCACATGTACATCTTAGCTCTTGCCCTGCTGTTCCTGCTGCCTAACGTGTAATTGCAATACCTGTTCCCCCTGCCAAACATAACCCTTCTGGCCCTTTACCTGGCAAACTTCTCCTCCATCTGCATGCTTACTTTAAATCCCACCCACATTTTAGTTTTTTAATTTTTTTCAGTGTGTGTGTGTGTGTGTGTGTGTGTGTGTGTGTGTGTGTGAATTTTCAAGGACATTTACTAAAGTTGGGGATAATGAAACAAGAAAGGGAAGGTGAAATGAACGCAGGCTCACTAAGAAGTGTGACAAAAGAGGGTCTTGGGGACAGGTTTAGAGGGTTTGCCCGGGATAAATTGCCACTGACCATTGTTGCTCTGGTTGAAAGCCTCCTGGGGTCCCTCAGAGTTTAGGAGATGCATCCCTGTGGGAAAAGAAAGGGAGGAAGGCTTGGGCGTGCAAGCATGCCTTTATTTTATTTAATTTTTAACTACTTTAAAAACATTGATTAGAGAGAGAAAAGGAGAGAACTTTGGCTTGTTGTTCCACTTATTTATGCATTCATTGGTTGGTTCTGGTATGTACCATGACCAGGGATGAAACCCACTTTTGCATATTGGTAACAATGTTTTAAGAACTGACCCACAGGGCCAAGGCTTCACCCACATTTTTAAAACTCTAATTCTCATCATGGACTTAAAGTGGCTGGCACATACTACAATCAATAAAAAAGAATACATAATGATAATTATAAGGTCCTAGTGCATTCTACCACCTGGTAAGCACTGAATAAAGTATAGTAAGTAATAGGAATGACAATGACAATAACAAGCTCTTAGAGGGCAGGGACTGTGTTTTTAAAATATTTCCATTCTGCAACATCAGAATAGCAATCAGTATCTGAAAGGCACCTGAGCCCTAGCCAGTTTGGCTCAGTGGATAGAGCGTTGGCCTGGGGACTGAAGAGTCCCAGGTTCGATTCCAGTCAAGGGCATGTACCTTGGTTGCGGGCACATCCCCAGTAGGGGGTGTGCAGGAGGCAGCTGATCACTGCTTCTCTCTCATCGATGTTTCTAACTGTCTATCCCTCTCCCTTCCTCTCTGTAAAAAATCAATAAAATATATTTTAAAAAAATAAAAGGCACCTGAGAGTTAAATAGTAGACCAGGCTTGAGCGTTGTCCCATGCTACTATGGGACAACACATCCCTCTCTATCCCTCTCTCTTCCTCTCTGTAGAAAATCAATAAAATATATTTAAAAAACAAAAATTTAAAATCCTGATTTCTGGGCCTCCTCCTCCGGAAATTCTGTTTCTTTGTTACTAATGTTGTGGCCCCACCCCATAACAAAGAAAGAGAATTTCCAGAGGATGAGGCTCAGAAATCAGGATTTAAAAAAAAAAAAAACCTTGGCACTGAGTCTAACCAGACTGGTAGATGACATAGTTCACGTGTGTTGTCAGAATTTGACACTGGAATAATGAAGACCTCCTGGAAACGTCACAGGGAGAGGATAAAGTCGCTCTAGTGTCCTTGGGGGGCAGATCTGGTAACAAAGGAGAAAGTCTGGTCTTTTCCTGCAGTTTTATTTCAATCTCTCTGACAGCTTAGAATAGTTACAAATTAATAATTATTAATTTTGTAAAAAATATTGAAAATTCTGACTAAAAAAAAAAAAACACAAAGAAATAAGCCAGGGACAGCGCTCTCATAATATGAGAACCTTCAAAGTCAAAACACCATTTCATCCTTGTATTTCCTACAAGTTGCAAAACCAGCCTACACAAGTCCTCTGATGGAGGTCTACCAAGTCCAATGAACTAGGTGCCACATCTGGGTAGCACTATGGCATTTTTGTCATTTTGAAACTCTTTTGTACTTTTATTGTAATTTGTAGAGTCCTGAATGGGATTATTTGAATACTTATTATGATTACCTACTGATCAATGGTAACAGAGCATCTTGTTCTAAAGAAATTACAATGTCCTAACAATTATCCAACAAACAGAAGGAAACATCTTGTTCTAATGAATCAATATATCTCATTCTGCTTTGACCTCTGAGGAAAAAAGTTGATAATAGTGAAATCTTGTTGGCATTATATATAAAATACTCCATGATTCTCAACAGGTTTTGCCTTTCTGACTTCTGTGCTATTTGGTAGTTATCTTTGAAAAACAACCTCATTGGGCCCTGCCAGCACAGCTCAGTGGTTGAGCATCAACCTATGAAACTGAAGGTCAAAGTTCAATTCATGGTCAGGGCACAGGCCACCTTTGCAGGCTCAGTCCCCAGTGTGGGGTGTGCAGGAGGCAGACAATCAATAAGTCTCTCTCATCAATGATGTTCCTATGCCTCTCCCTTGCCCTTCCTCTCTGAAATCAAGAAAAACAATCTCATTGAGATTGTTGCTCACTAAGTGTTGTCGTTCTTATTGTTTGCCATTTGTTTGTGGTACCAGGAAAGTATTGTTGAGTTCCCAGTTTTAGTGACTTTTTTTAGTGAGACAATTCACTATGTAAAAACAGGTTTTCAGCCCTAACCGGTTTGGCTCAGTGGATAGAGCGTTGGCCTGGGGACTGAAGAGTCCCAGGTTCGATTCCGGTCAAGGGCATGTACCTCAGTTGTGGGCACATACCCAGTAGGGAGTGTGCAGGAGGCAGCTGATCGATGTTTCTCTCTCATTGATGTTTCTAACTCTCTATCCCTCTCACTTCCTCTCTGTGAAAAATCAATAAAATATATTTTTTTTAAAGTTAAAAAAAAACAGGTTTGCATTTACTAAATGTAATCCACTGGCTTTAAAAACTAAACAAAAGATCCATTTTTAGAACAAGTCCAATTTGTTACAATGTGAATATAGAGGAAACATACAACATCCTAACTTAAAGACATTTTTCTTTTTTACATAAAGATATCATATAGGATTTTAGGGGTCAGGACTTAATAAATGAACCTCTTTTTAAACAATATTGCCCCAGATTTTAAAATTACCTATAATTAACTGTTTTAATAGTAGTGAATACTTTTCTATTAAGAAAGAGATTAAGAAAAACTATACATGCAACTTACACATTGTTTGGTGAGTTTTTATTGCTCTTTCATTAGCAAAACTTTCTCTTAATTCATCTATGGTAGGACCACCAAGAGTAATTCATTATCAGAAGTCTTACCAAGATTGCTACCTTCAGAAGATCTTATAGGTCTTTCTTCTTTATATTCCAAAGTTAGTTGTTGCTTGCTATCAATTAAAAAAATGGTGATAAATAATATTACTATGTTAATACAAACATAAAAATATTTCACAAATATTGTAAATTCTTAGAATATTTCAGATAATATGAGTCAATATTAAAACTTTAATTCTACTATACACTTCAAATTTGTAAGTTCTACAAACTTCTTATGAAGCTATGTAATTTTTTAAAACAAAACACAAAACAGTCATGATTTGAGGGCAATATAGTTTGGTGAATTAATTAGAGTTAGTTTGACATATGGCAAGTCTCTTGAACTCAGACATCCTTGTTCTATAATCAACAGCTATTTGTTCTCAAACAAGTCATTTTTCTGTGGCTCAAGGTCCTCCTCTACAAAATAATGGTCTTACTGCCTTACTTTAAAGGTTGTTTGGAGAATTAAATGAGATAATACAGCAAAAAGAGATGCTTGGAGAAACAGCAAGGCAAAGGAAAAATCTCTTCGTGAGCTTTATTTTTTGAAACTATTTTAGAATCCCAATGAAATCCCAATGTGGGTTTTTCATAGTTTCTAACATTCAAATGTTGCAGTTCTCAGAAAATATTAACTAGAGGCCCAGTGTACAAAATTCGTGCACTCGTGGGGCTGGGGGGGGGGGGGGGGGTGGCCTCAGTCCATCCAGTGCCCTATCGCAGTTCAGGAGCCTTGGGGGATGTCCGACTATCTACTCACACTGTGAACCAGCAGATCTTTAAGGATGGCAGTCGGACATCCTTAGTGCTGCTGGGGAGGTGGGAGAGGCTCCTGCCACTGCCACTGTGCTTGCTAGCTGTGAGCCCAGCTCGGGGCTTCTGGCTGAGTGGTGCTCCCCCTGTGGGAGCGCACTGACCACCAGGGAAAAGCTCCTGTGTTAAGCTTCTGCGCCCTGGTGGTCAGTGTGCGTCATAGTGATCGGTCATTCCACCATTTGGTTGATTTGCATATTAGCCTTTTATTATATAGGATGGAACTGACAGTCAATGTGCCCCACTGAGGGGTCCTGGATTGAGGGAGGGCACAGGCCAGGCTGAGGGACCCCACTGGTGCACAATCGGAGCCGGGGAGGGAAGCGGGAGGTTGGCCAGCTGGGGAGGGACTGCAGGAAAGCTCCAGGGCATGTCCGGCCCATCTCGTTCAGTCCCAATCAGCTGGACCCCAGCAGCAAGCTAACCTACCAGTCAGAGTGTCTGCCCCCTGGTGGTCAGTGTACATCATAGTGAACAGTTGAGCAGCCTTAGCATATTATGCTTTGATTGGTTGAACAGACGACTGGGCAACCAGACACTTAGCATATTAGGCTTTTATTATATAGGATTTTGGTTATTACCTATTCTTTCGTTGTGGTTTGTAATTCAGGGTGTCTTAGCTATTATATAACTTGAAACTAAATGTATGTACAAATACATTACCTCATGAAGTCAGATAACACAATGCTCCCTTATTTTTGTTGTGAATCATACCAACCACAGAAAACTAATAGAAGTCAGGACCTGGCCTGGACCACTAATATCTACTCACACTGTGAACCAGCAGATCTTTATGAGAATGATGCTTAATATCCCTGTCCACACCCAATTGGCTTGGATGGTAGAATCCTACTTGTCACTCATGGATACTGATGAGTCATGAATGCGGCCTTAGCAATTGTAAGGACCAATAACCTACTTTTGAATCAGAGCTTTCTAACTGGCTTCCATGTGAGACATAATTTAAAATATTTTGAAACCTGAGGTAAATTAACTCACTTGGGAATCTTTCATTCTTACGGCAAAGAGATCCTTTGCGGGGCCAACCTCAGTTATGGAGTCTCAGGCAGGTTGCTGCCTACTTCTGTGGGAAAGGCGACATGGGAACTTCCACTACCTGAACAAAGATGTTCTAGTGTCCTTGGGGGGCAGATCTGGTAACAAAGGAGAAAGTCGGTCTTTCCCTGCAGTTTTATTTCAATCTCTCTGACAGCTTAGAATAGTTCCAACTAACATTTGCTTTGATCCTAAGCCCTTCATTGTTTCACTGGCCCCAGCTTTAATAAATGTACCCTCCAAATATAAAACAAGGAATGAACAATTATACCTTTCCATGTGATCGACTTTTGAAGCTCTAGTTACTAAAAATTCCACCATTTTCTCTTTGTTTTCATATTTAGCAAGTGAAAGTGGTGTGAAGTCATCCTGTATAAACAGGAAAAGTTTATAATTTATTAAATTATATATATACAAACTGAATAACAAAACTTATAAAAGGTCCTCTGAACTTACACATATAATATAGAAAGTAAATAAAAAGTAGCCCCTTTTGCCCTGGCTAGTGTTCTCACTGGTTAGAGCATTGGCCTGCTCATGGAAGGGTCCAGGTTTGATTCCCATTCAAGAGATTGTACCTGGGTTGCAGATTTGGTCCCCAGCCCTGGTCTGGGCCTATGCAGGAGCCACCCATACATGAATGTTTCTCTCTCTCACCCCTCATCCTTCCCTCCCTTCCACTTTCTCTAAAATCAATGAGGGGGGGGGGAAATCCTCTGGTGAGGAGGAAAAATAAATAAAAGGATCCCTTATCTCCTCACCCCTGTGCAGTCACTGGCTGTTCTTCCCTTTAAAATGCCCTCCACTGCCTCTTCAACAGATTAACTGCAGCATCCTTCTCCAAATCTCACTTCCAACATTTACAGTATGGGTTCCCAGAATCTGTGTTCCTATCCTGGTATCCTGTTGCTATTTTGTTGCCTGTGGACTGGGGCTTCCTCTTCCCTCTTGCACTCACCCAGCTCCCCTTGCTGGGGACTAGGCCTCCTCCTCCCACCCATCCCCAGCAGCACCATATCCTAAGCCCCTGCCAGCACAGCAGCCAGGCCCCAGCATCACTTCACTCCCCCAGGCCTTCAGCCTTAGTGGGCTCTGAGCCCATCTCCCACTCCCAGGCACTAACAGGAAGTTCTTCCTTCTGGGGTGGAAGGGTAGCTGGGAGGCAGAGCTTTGCCCCTTCCATGCGCACTACATTTCTCCAGCCCTCCCTGCCTGGGCTTTGGAGTTGTTTCCATGGTGACAGGGCCTAATCTATTGTATTTAGTGTATGCATGCGAGAAAGAAAATGCTTGTGCAAAAGAAAGAGAGAGAGAGAGAGAGAGAGAAAGGAAGGAAGGAAGGAAGGAAGGAAGGAAGGAAGGAAGGAAGGAAGGAAGGAAGGAAGGAAGGAAGGAAGGAAGGAAGGAAGGAAGGAAGGAAATGCTTATGCCCGGCTGGTGTTGCTCAGTGGTTGAGTGTTGACCCTTGAACCAGGAGGTCAGGGCACATGTTCAGTTTGCGGGCTGAATCCCCAGACAGTGATGTGCAGGAGGCTGCCAATGGATAATTCTTTCTCATCATTGATGTTTCTATCTCTCTCTCCCTCTCCTTTCCTTTCTCTTTAAAATTAATAGAACATACAATTTTTTAAAAGGCTTGAAACTAGCCGAAACCGGTTTGGCTCAGAGAAGAGAGCCTCGGCCTGCAGACTGAAAGGTCCCAGGTTTGATTCCGGTCAAGGGCATGTACCTGGGTTGCGGGCACATCCCCAGTAGGAGATGTGCAGGAGGCAGCTGATCAATGTTTCTCTCTCATCAACGTTTCTGACTCTCTATCTCTCTCCCTTCCTCTCTGTAAAAAATCAATAAAATATATTTTTTTTAAAAAAAGGCTTGAAACTAAAGTAAAAACATGTATTTCAAATATTTTGTAAATAAAGTTACTTGATCTATACCTTATTTCTTGCTTCCATATTTGCCATACAGGAAAGTAGCTTTTCCACTATCGCTGTATTGTGGCCAAGGACAGCATAGTGAAGAGGAGTGTTGCCATGGATGTCCATTACATTTGGATCGGTGCCACGGTCTAGAAGAATGGTTGCACATTCCTCTTGCTCATATTGTATGGCCTGTCAGTATTATGCCAAGAAATAGATTATAAATTCTGGGAATTCAAAGTAAACATTCCACAAGTTTCACCAATGTCTTCTAGTTAAATGAGACAAACTCATTGCTAATCTAAGTAATTCAATTAAACCCCTCTCACGTTCACATAGTTGGCTAATACATACGTGAATGAGAGCTGTTTTGTTGTCAATGTCACAGAGGTTCAATAGGCAATGTCTACGTGTTAGCAGTCTCACCATTCTCGGACAGCCCTTGCCACAGGCCACATGCAGAGCAGTCCTATGAAAGTGAGAGGACTGCTTAGGAACTTAGAGTGCACTACATGAAAGCGTACAATATCCATGTAATTGTAAACATTGCTCCCTATGCCTTCAAAGCATAATTTTCTTCTGGAGATAGTACAATATTTATTAGTTCTTGTCACTCACCCCATTAGTGAAGGAGAAGCCTATTTGAATACAAAGAGGATGACCTGGGAATTTAGCTCAACTTAGTTCTGATCCTATTTTAATTGTCACTTATTAGCTGTCTCTTGGCCTTTCTGGGCCTCAATTTCCTCATCAACAAAATGGGGATAAAAATAATAGGTATCTCACAGGACACCACTGTTTGTTTTAATGAGAATCTATGCAAAGTGTTTACTACAGTACCTTGCACATAAAACAGCTTAATAATTGTGATAATATTAGTATCATTATTACTATTACTACCACTTTACAAAGATATCATTTCAATTAAGTAAACTGATATCAGTATACATACTTCGCAGATGTGTTTTAAGGATTAGAAAGAACACAGTATTTCAATTATTCTAAAGTGCTTATATTCTCTCATTTTAACATCTCTGACAATGGAATTCAATTTTTACTTCAGAATGTCTTACAACTATTATGGGCAGCATTTAAAAATTTTTATTGATACATAAAATACTGACATCATGCCATTCATGGTTCCTTACATTAAGTGAAGTAATGGTAACTATAACAGACCTCTTGCAATTCTAGTCAAATGGTTGGCATTTAAATAACTTTTAATTCTTAAAAGCCTTATGGGGGAAAGAGGACTGAAAAAGCAAACCATGAATTTTCTTTTTAAGTAATTCTTACTCTGATTTTCAAAGAAAACATAAGCCAGAGGAGAATCAGGATTCAAATATATAGGATGGCTCATTTTGTTCAATATTTAGATTTATAGATTGTATGGAAAGCATAAGTTCCCAATGATCAATATTCACATTTCATATTATTATTATACATCTCAAAAGGGCAGGCAAAGGTTATCTTTTACAATTTCCTACATTCAGAAATACTTTTGTTTGAAAGCAGGGAGAAAAAACTTCAACCTGGTGAGGTCCTAATACTTCAATTATGAATTTTTCATTTTGCTCATATTGGGCAACATGAAGATTATAAGAATGAAAAAGGCCTGAGAGGGTTTAATCACCAAAATTTATAGGGAACTCATACAACTTAATAATAAACAATCCAATCAAAAAATGGGCAAAGGATCTAAATAGACACTTCTTGAAAGTGAACATAGAAAAGGCCAAGAGACATATGTAAACATGCTCAAAGTCACTAATCATCCAAGAGATGCAAATCAAAATGACAATCAGGTACCATCTCACACCTGTCAGAATGGCTATCATCAACAAATAAGCAAACGACAAGTGCTGGAGAGGATGTGGAGAAAAAGGAACACTCGTGCACTGCTGGTGGGAATGCAGACTGGTGCGGCCACTGTGGAAGACAGCATGGAGTTTCCTCAAAAAACTAAAAATGGAACTCCCATTTGACCCAGTGATCCCACTTCTGGGAATATATCCCAAGAAACCAGAAACACCAATCAGAAAGGATATATGCACCCCCATGTTCATAGCAGCACAATTTACAATAGCTAAGATTTGGAAACAGCCTAAGTATCCAGCAGCAGATGAGTGAATTAAAAACCTGTGGTATATCTACAGAATGGAATACTATCTAATCTAATAAAAGAGAAACATGGTAATTAGCGTACGACCGCTACCCTTCCCATTGGCTAATCAGGGCGATATGCAAATTAACTGCCAGCCAAGTTAGCGGTTAACTGCCAACAAAGATGGCGGCTAATTTGCATATTGAAGGCAGGGTAGGACAGCGGAAGCCACCATCCAGGCCCCCGGGAGCCCTCCCCCACCCACCGGAGACACAGGGCCCACCCCCATGTGCGATCTGGGTGGGGTGGGGGCTGGGGCCAAGGCAAGTGGGTGCCGATTGCTTTGCCCGCCTACCAGAGACAGGGGCCCACTCCCGTGTGCCATCCGTGGGCGGGGTCTGCCTGCCCACTGCAGACATGTGCCAATCGCTTAGCCCGCCTACCAGGGGCTGGGGCGAAGGCAAGCGGTGCTGATCGCCTCACCGGAGCCCTGCCTGCCCACTGCAGACATGTCCCAATGCGATCCAGGGGGCGGGCGGGGGCTGGGGCAATGCAATCTGTGCAGATGCCTCGCCCGAAGAACCCTCGCCTGCCCACCGAAAACACATCCCAATGCGATCTGGGGGCGGGCGGGGATTGGGGCAAGGCAAGCGGTGCCCATTGCCTCGCCGGAGCCCTCGCCTGCCCACCGGAGACACGTCCCAATGCACGTGGGCTGGGGCAAGGCAAGCAATGCAGATCGCCTAGCCGCAGCCCTCGCCTGCTCACTGGAGACATGTCCCAATGCGATCTGGGGGCAGGCGGGGGCTGGGGCAATGCAATCGGTGCAGATGCCTCTGTGGAGCCCTCGATTGCCCACCGGTGGGTGGGAGAGGGGTTCCAGCGAGGCATTTCGCCACTGTTTGAAATTGGGAGTAAAACCGCTCCCCTCAGCGAGTCGACCTCAAATGGTATTCTCTTTACCTGGGCGTGGTGGCAAGCGCTCTCCCCCGCGGAAAGCCTCAGAAAAGATGGCCCCGCCGCCCCCCCCCCCGTACCTAGTCAAATTTTGTTATTGTACCCGGCTCTCCAGGAGAGAGACCACCCCCACCTTTCCGCCTCACCGTCTTCTGGGTGAGTGTCCCTAGATCGACTGCTCCCCCCTCG